CTGTCAAAAAGCTATCCTGAGTGGGGGTGGGGCGAGGGGGGACGGGACTGCGCCGGCCGACGCTCCGTGGCTGCGCATGGGCGGATAGTGGGGGCACATTTTGGAGACTGAAAAGAAGTTTCTTCCAGGTCTTGAATGAACATATGATATCTGTGGCCTTATCTCTACATTCTGTTAAGTCAGGGGCCTCCTTTAGATCCATTCAAATTGGGAAACACCCATGTCCTATTCGGATGCTTTGAAAAGCAGATTTAAAAACTTGTTGCTGCCCTGGCCGGTTTGGCTCAGCGGTTAGAGCGTCGGCCTGCGGTCTGAGACCCGGGTTCAGTTCCCGCTAAGGGTGCGTACCTCGGTTGCAGTTTGTCCCGGCCCTGGTTGGTCGTGCGGGTGGCAGCCACTCAATGTGTCCCTTTCGCATCGATGTTTCTCTTTCTCTCTCTCTCTTTCTCTCTCTCTCTCCTTCCCTCCTGCTCTATCTGAACAAAAGATGAAAAAATGTCCTCAGGTGAGGATAAAAAAAAAAACACCAAAAAAACTTGTTGCCAAATGTTGGTGTAGTTGACATTTGTAACTGCTGATTGGAAGACAAATTTTAGACCACACTCTGGAAGGATGACAGAATTGAGGTCTTGGGTTTAAAAGAAAAAGCCTTCAGACATCAGTGGACATCTGTCCTAACTGTGGACACGATGCCAAATAGATTCGGAGACGGAAAGTGCTCCTGAGCTCACCGCTGTGGGGGTGACGGAGCAGGAGGCCACAGCAGCTTCAGTGACCTGAGCTCGCGATCTCTTCTGGATTCTGGGTTGTACCCAAGAGCTGGTTGGGGTCGTGTCTCAGACGTATTTGGTGTGACCCCTTGGACAAAGCATTGAACCTGAGTTTTGTAGTGTGTGAAATGAAAGGAGCCCAACTGGACAGTACTTAGATCTAACACTCGAAGTCAAGTTCAGGGTAGAATCGTCCCACGGTGAAGGCTGCAGGGGCTCGCCCCTCGCCTCCTCTTCCTCTCGCTCCCGTGAATGTGGGGCGAGGGTGTCACGCTCACGTGTAATGACAGCACTAAGCCTGCAGTTGGGACAGACAGTTCAGTGCTTACCCCTCAGCTGGCGAGCCCCTCCCCCCTCTGTGCGCTCCAGTCCCAGGGTCCCAGGGCTGTCTTTCTGGTCTTCCTCTCTGCTCTCCTTCCCGCTCTACCTCTCTCATGTCCTCCCGCCTCCCCGCTCTGCTCCGGCTGCCGCCAGCCTTCAGGTCTCAGCCAGACATCAGCTCTTCAGGGAAGCATTTCCTGCCTGCCAGGCTGCCATGCTGGCAACCCCCGCCCCCAACCCCGCTCACCCCATCAGTAATCTCACCGAGGCCTATGTCATCGTTGTGATTGACTTGTTTTTAATGGCCACCACCCCATGCTGGAGGTCGGGAACTAAACCGTCTTCTGCATCTTGTTTCCTACCCGAGGACAGAGTAATGCAGTGTGCCTGCAAGCGGTGTGTGCAGTCAAGGAGCTCGGTCTTTAGTTGGGGAGAAAAAACATGTGTGTGAAGACTTAGCCAGCATAACTATATGCAATAGTAAATAATATGCCAAGCATGTCCCGAGAACTTGACACACATTTACTTTGCCCTCATAATAATTCTAAGAAGTCGATATTGTTATGCCCTTTCCATTGGTGAGGACATGAGGGCAGAGAGAAATTAAATAACTTGGCTCGCTAAGGCGGGGGAGCTGCCTGCAGAGTGCAGGCTCTTAACCATTAGGCCACACTATCGCACAGCGGTAAGAGCCCTTTGGAAGTATCCACGTTCCTCTAGTCTCACCTCCCCCATCCAATCCATTAGCAAGTCCCGGAACAGATACCACTGAAAATACGCCCAGATTTCCACTTCCCCTTCTCATTTGGCCCTGGCATTGCTGGCACGGGCTAATGGCTTGTGTTCCCACCTCTCGGGCCTTCTATGGCCCACTCTACCCAGCAGCCAGAGTGGTGGTTTCAAAGAGTGTATCAGCTTGGGTCCCAGCCCTGAGAAAACCCCTCGGTGACCTTCCATTCTGTTTGCAGTAGCACCCAGAGCCTTACCATGACCTCAAGGTTTCCCCAGTCTCCATTCATTTCCCAAGTCATGTCTTCTTGGACCCATGGGCATGGTTTTTACTCCTACCATGCGATAAATACAGTATTCTCCCCGAGGACCTTTGCCGATACGCTCTGCCCCTGTCCTTCACGTGCTGTCTACCTAGCATTTTGACTTAGTTCAAACATCCTGGCTCTGTTCATCCTTTCCAAGGAAGTGCATGCCCTGTCACTTACCCTTCTTCCCTGTTCTAATTTCCCATAAACATTTCCAAGCGAATGTATCTTATTCACTCATTCAGTAGGTCATTTCTTGTCGGTTCTCACCTACTCCAATGTCAGCACTACTCTGAGGAGCAGAGACTGGCTATTTTCAGCACCTAGGACAATGCCCTCATGGTGGGGATCCACTGAGTCTGGATGGAAAGGAGTAGCAGGAATTGCCTATAAGATGATAGACACTGGGTGGGAGAAATTCAAGAGGAGGAACTCACACTGTGTGCCATGATGGAAAAGAAGGCTCTGTAAGGGAGAGGACCTGGGAGCCGGACCTGGTTTGGGTGCATTGAGAGTGGAGGGTCACATGACAGTAGCAGAGATGAGGCAGGGATGCTTATGGGTTGTTTAGTCCATTATAGGGCCTAGTTAATGTGTACTGAAAGTTTGCTCAGAACAGTAATGAGAGAGACTGTTGGGAAGAAAGTAGAGACTGTATTTGGCAACTCTACAATGCCAGGTAGAGAAATCTGGGCTCTAATCTAGGCTCAAAGGGGAGCCTAACATTTTGGCCAGGGGGTCTTGTGTTAAAAGTGCTGCTTTAGAAAAGTCATGCCCTCCATTTTGCCCATTTTCATACTTTCTTTACCCAAGACCTAAAAATACCACCCCTGCCTTTCTTTAAAGACTTTCTCCAAATTTTTTTCACACTCGGGGTCTGAGCATGCTCAGACACTTCATCACTCCTGCCTCTTTCGTGCACGTGAAAAATGTACCTTGCAAGCCCGATAAATCAGACAACCACATGTTGGAGTGTCACGTGTCTGTATGAATGTTATGTGTCCCAGATGAAAGCAAGTTGTGCTGTTTCATAGCGCTCTATGATTAACCTGGTCAACTTTTAGAGGTATATGTTGTGGGTGTTCTTTATAGATAAAACTGCTGTATGTTGCTGTCCCTTGGGTACTTAAGTGGCTAACTCTAAGCTCTGTCTCTTTCAAGATACTTAATGCTGAGTTCTGTTCTAGAGTAGATACATTTGAATGAAGGTCTAGTTTATAGCGCTTTGGAGGAAGGAAAGAGATTTTCCATTCATCTGTTCTTACAGCGATCAAAGAACCAGGTGTTACTCTCCGAGATGAGTTCCCCCAAGGACTGGTGAGGCCATTACTTGAATTGCTCCGTACAACTTTTGTTGGACTCGGAGCATTCTAATGCAACCAGGTCCTGCTATTTTTTGTAACCAAGAGATGAAGAAGAAAATACTGACAATCAAAGAGCTTACAGTACTTCACAAATCAATTTTATTAATTTAAACACAAAATTTATGAAGAAAAAATCTGTACACAACTGTGGACACAACACACCTTTATACAGTAAGGCCAAGATAAACTCTGTTTTCTCGATCTGTGGAGTACAAAATTGTAAAATGAACATTTCAGGCTAAAACGTTGCCAACTTCGGTTTGCTTCAAGCAGGAAAAACAAAGCAATTGTTAAACAATTTGGAGAATTTTCAACTGACTAATTCTAGCAGCAACATGAAACCCCAGAAAGAGATAGGGTAGCTTTTTAGCTACTTTGGGTCAAAGCTGGTGTTTTTCCCCCCAATATAATACTAAAGAAAATTCATCCAAAAAAGTAATTTCATGACAATGGAAGGCTTTGTCGATAAGAGAAACTCGGGCCCAAAGTAATCACTTTTGGAGAAACTGTTTTTATGTCCCAATTTGTGGTGTACTATATAACATAGGTAAAGAGTAGCATCTTTCCTGGGAGGGTGGAGGAAGAGTGTGGAAGAAAACAGAGGAAATCTGAATGTAGAGAGAGATGCTAAGTTTTGCTCATTTGCTGATGTCTGACGATGTCTTCCTTGATCTAGACGAAACACAGCCACGCTACTCTGAGCGCATGAACGCTTTGCGAGTCTCCAATTCATGCACCGTTTTATTAATAAAATATATCTTCTACATTATTTCTGTGGGAAGAAGAAGCATTTGAATAATCATTTTTTTCCAACACTAATGTATTCTAAGAGGGCTTCTTATTCAAATGATTTAAAACACGGCTGTATTATTTTACCAAGGCCTTCCTAACAGCACACAGAAAAGAACTGACTGGGGGGGGGGGGGGAAGGGATAAAATCCTATTGACATCCATGCTTTTGGTCTTGACAACATTATCTAAACAGACAGACAAAGAAACCCTTATCTACATATTTATACCCAGTATACTTCGGTAAGGCACTGCACACGAGTCTGTGCACATGTTGCCTCATAACTCTATCAAGGCATCGCTACCTCTCAATAGCATTTTCTAAACATTATGTAAAAGAATCATCCATTATTACAAATTTACACCAAAAATTCTTTCTGTACATGATTGTCTCAGTGATGTACATATTATACGTTTAAATTAGACATACTTTAAACTACTTTGCAATGTGCTAAAATTCAAAGTACTTGCTGTGTCATGAGGCCGAGGCCTATAATCGCTTATTTCTTACGCTATTGTCTCTTCAGTTATTTGATGCCCCAGAAGTCTGTTCGAGTGAACTGAATGGTACTTGGATTATACCTCAGTGAAAGTGTTTTTAAAAAAGTCTGTTCATAAATAAGTAGAGATGTGCAGATTACCCTGGGTATGAGACACCAAAAAGTAAACCTTCTTTACAAGAAAATTCCCCCACTGGTATTCCGGAAACATTTGTCTCTTGTGCAATCAAGTTCGCTCTACTGGAGAAGCTGTTCACGTCACATCGAAGATGCTAAAATCTCAGGCGTCTGTCTGCAGGTCTTTTCTTCACAGGTTTGAACCGTGTAGTTAATGTGGCAAAGACACATTACACTGTGCTAGAACATTCTCATGGCTTATTTTCTTGGGATTCACAGTACTGGAGTCAACAGCTGTTCTGAAGAAAGAGACGTGGTCCTTCATGGACCCCAAGGGCAGAGGTGAAGACCGACTGACAGCAGCGGGGCGTCCCCACGGTGAAATCGGTAAGTTTGCTTGTCTGGCGCGGACGGACTCAGGCCTGCTCGATTCGGTCCTGGTCGCAGGGCAGTCGTGCGGTTTCAAAGTGCTCGACGGTGGTTACAGGTACTCCAGTTCCAAGGCGTGGTGCAGGGCCATGAGGTCCGAGTGACTGGAGATCCTCCAGAAGGGCATGGCATGCTGGGGAAAGGAGATGCACGTGAGGACAGACGCGGCTCCCAGCACCAGCCCTGCACCTGGCCTTTGCCATCCACCCCGGTGCTCAGCACTCTGAGCACGGCCAGCTAAGAGCTTAACATCACACTCGTTTAAAACAAAACTCCAAACTTGATCCTGCCCTAAGAGCACCGGACTGCACTTGAAAACGTGGGGAGGTTTCTTGAATAATCTACACTATGACTTGAACGTCAATTCCAGTCTTAAATAAAACATTGTCAAAAACAGTTGTCTTTGGAAATATGTATCCAGTGGATTTTTAAGGCCGAAGGTCTATGCAGTTTTCCTTAGTGGGTAATAGTTTACATTTTTCAAAACTTAAGTTTATTCATGGCATTCTTTGCATTGACCTTAAAATGGCTTTACCACATGGGGACATTTAAAATGAACATCTAAGGTATTTTTATAATTGTTTAATCAATCTAAAAATCAAGTTGAAATGATGGGGATGTTTATAAAACACCTGAATTAACCAGAGACAAGAAAAGCAGGTTACTTTATCTGTTTAGGATGAATGCATGATTATAATAAACTTTCACTGCTCAAAGGCACTATAGTAAGCTTATAAATCAGCTAAATCTTTTTCTTAAATAAGAGACAAAATTCTATTTAGTAAAAACAAAACCCAACTTTTTTTTTTTTTTTGCACAAAAAACCATGTGAAGGCCTGGTTATAATTTGCAATCATGGTTCTGCAGAATTGTTTAAAAATTCAGACTAATAGAATTTGGTATGGAAGCACACAGCGAACCTGAGGCGTTGGGGGAGGACTCTTGGTACGTAACAGTGGAAACTGTTTCGGTGTCAACCACATAATTACTTGTTAACAATGTCTTTGTTCCAGTAATCTGCTAAAAGCATATACCATAGACTATTATCAAATGCAGACCTTTGTGGACTCTATATCTTTACCCTTCGATAACAGAAGAGTGCAGAACCAAATTTTTAGGATGATCTACTTGACAACCTTAGACTAGGAAAAAAAGACTGTACTATTTTGCATTTGCAAGCATGGTGTAGAAGATGTCCCTGGTCCACCCTGTGGTTGAGTAGCAAAAATGTACAATAATGATGAGTGTTCACCTATGTGTTATGATAGAAAGGGCCATGTCCCTTTGCCTGGGAACTGAAAAACACCTGATGTGAGGAGGAAACAGCTGAGCGAGGTATGAAAGGACAACCATGAAGAAGGGCCCTTTAATGGCTGTTTGTATTGGGGGGATTGAGGAGAAATTCACTAGCAGGATTCACTGGCTGTGTGTGAAACATATGATTAGTGACATGATTGGCTAAATGATGCAGGGCCTCGTGAGCCCTGTTTAATGACAGGTATGATTTATTGAGTATGGTGTCAGGCACTGTGCTAGCATATGGACTCTCTCATTTGAGCCTCTCTATAACCTCAGAGATCCTTGTTTTACTGATGGAAGAACTGAGGCTTAGAGAAGGAGCAGAGAGATGTGAATAACAGCTAGTAAGGAGTAAACCTGAGATTTGTACCAGGTCTGTATCTGAAGCCCATATGCTGTAATGCCTCCTAATTGTTCTCTGTGGCGTTTTTATTCAGCGGTATAAATTATCACCAGCACAGCTTAAAACACACATTCCCTTTGGTGTTCTGTTTGGTAAGGGATGTGGAAAAATCTGAGTGACTAGGACACATAGATTGGGTTTAAAATGTTTGCCCAATTGCAGAAAGCTTTTCTTATTTTTCTCTTGTTATACTAGAAATCCATGCATATAGCAAACCATTTGTAACATGTAGAACTGTATAAAAAAATCAAGTCACTTCTAATCCTACTACCCAGATAATCTTCATAGAAATTTTTCTATATTGTGTATATGCAGTACAAGCATACCTCGTTTTATTGCGGGTGGTCTGGAACTGAATGCGCAATATTTCCGAGGTATGCCTGTGGTACCATTCAGCACCCTGTTCATTTTACCACTTAAGCCCATTTAAGGAAAATCATTCACTCATTATTTTAAAAGTTTGCAGGTATTCAAATATACACAGTGTTCTTTTACATTTAACCATCTGCTTGGTGTCTGTTTCAATGTTCCTTTTTAGTTACTAATTAACTTGCTTTGTATACTTGGCCAGAGATTCGCTGCTTCTCCCCAGAGCTGGTTCCCATGAACAACTGAAGAAAGGGAGTTAGAGAGTAGTTCTATTGCTCTTATGTACCAGGATGCAAAAGGTGCTTCAGAGAGCCATCCAGAAAATGTTAGGGTAACATTTCATAAATACATACATACAAGTACTTGTGAGAAGGGAAATGCTTTTTTTCAGAGCAGGTTCGGTCAAATTCTTTGGCATGACAATTATCTGAAGTTAGATTTGTTCCCCACAGACAACAATACAAATTTGAAAGCTATTGGTGTGCTCAGAAGCATAGAATGTAGAATGCAATGACTGGCAGAGAAAAAAATCCAGCTAATTCTTTGGTACGTGGTTAACATATAAATTGAGCATTTAATTCCAGAGTAAACAAAGGACCAGGACAATGGCTCTGTGTCTTACTTATCTTTACAGGTTAGGAGGTGATGTCAGCCTAGACCACATTTCATTTAAACTGTTCTCCTTTTAGACCACACTCAAAACACGTTATGAAAGGTGAGATTATCCATAAAGATCCCTGAATTGCCTTGTTTACTGCCACTGAAATCCCGAAGGCTCTAGTTTTCCTATGTAGAGTATTAATAAAAACCACATGTCAAGCAGCACCCTGAAATGGGTTCAAATGATGAAATATGCCTGTGATATATTACAGGCAACTCATCACAGTGCAGTAGTGATGGGGTCATTCATTTGAGCAAAAGTGTAAAAGGTTCTCAGTAGTAACTAGCAAACCCTAAGTGTATGTAAAAGATAACAGGCCATCTCTGGGGACACTCCCAACACAGGGACAGCAACACCAGCATTGTTGCATAACCTGAAGGGTAATGATCTCTACTATATCAGGAGTTCCTTTCTCACAAAAATTGGCGTTTCTCCTCTCTAAAAAAATGTGCATTTATTGTTAAGTGACTGGTAAAGAAAACTAATCTTGGGGGGTTCAAACTCATGTTAACAAATAATTGGAATTACTATTGCAAAATAATATTTTCCCTAACTAGGCACATGCTGCTGTGAAGACCTTATGGACCTACAAGACCTTCTCAGGATGGGTGGGTATAAGGTAAATATTTTTCTTTACTAGTGTTTAGCCTGGAACAAATATTTCTTATATGAAGTCAGAAAGATAGGGTGGCGAGGGGGGAGAGTGGGTGCTGGAATGAAGAGACTGCACCCTCAAATCTGACATTAGTTATGTGACTCTATTATGATATAGTCTCCTTGGAGCTTGTTTATTTATCTGAAAAATGAAGGTTTAGGGAAAATGACTCAGGGTTGCTTTTAGGTTTTAATAAAGTCTATGAACCAGAAGGCCAGACGTATCAGCTAAAACTGTTTTATTATAATGTAAGGCAGTGTGGGATTAAGAATCAAAATGACCTAGCCAGAGCAGTTGGAAAAGAAGTAAAATGGTCTATTTTTAGTGACATAATTGTATACTATATAGATAATCCTAAAGACTCTACCAAAAAGCTATTAGAAGGTATTAGATCTAATCAATAAATTCAGTCAAGTTGTGGGATACAAAACTAATGTATAAAAATCAGTAGCCTGTCTATGCACTAACAACAAATTATCTGAAGAAATAAAGAAAATTATCCAACAGTGTCAAACTAAGAAAGTGAAAGATCTTTATACTGAAACTACAAGATATTGATAAATCAAAGATGACACAAATAAAGGGAAAGGTGTTCATGGATTAGAAGAATTACTATTGATACTACCTGGATTCATCTATAGGTTAAATCCCTATCAAGAGTCCAATGGCATTTTACAGAAGTAGAAAAAAATCCTAAACTTTATACAGAACTACAAAAGACCCAAATGGCCCAAGTAAATCTGAGAGAAAGAACAAAACGGGAGGCATTACACTCCTTGATTATGAAAACAGCATGATACTGGCATAGAAACAGACCAATGGAGTCAAGAATACTCGAAAGATAGTATCTTCAGTAAATGGTGCTGAGGAATTGTCATTTTACATGTAAAAGAATGAACTAGACCCCTATCTTGCACCACTCACAAAAATTAACTTGAAATGGATCAAAGACTTAAATGTAAGATAAGAAACCATAAGAAATAGCTTCTTGTCATATCCAAAAAATTACTGCTACCAAAAAGCTTCTGCACAACAAAATAAATGATCAACAAAATGAAAAGACAACCTATAGAATGGGAAAAACATATCTACTAAAAGGTTGATATCCAAATATATATCAATATATAATGAACTCATACAACTCAATAGCAAAACAACAAATGATCCAATTAAAAACAGAATAGACATTTTTCCAAAGAAGACATACATATAGCCAACAGGTACATGAAAAGGTATTCAAAACCACTACTAACTATCATCTTACGCCTGTTAGAATGACTATCATCAAAAAGAAAAGAACTCACAAATGCTGATAAGGATGTGGAGAATAAAAACCCTGTGCCCTTTTGGTAGAAATATAAATTGGTACAGCCATTATGGAAGGAAAACAGACTGGGGGTTCCTCCAAAAGTTAAAAATAGAACTAGCATATGGTCTAGCAAGTCTACTTCTGGATATATACTCAGAGCAATATGTTAAAGAGATATCTGTACCCTCACATTCTTAGCAGCATTATTTACAGTGACATGGAAACAACCTGAGTCCATCGATGGATGAATAGGGAAGTTGTGGTAGGCATATATAATAGAACATTATTCAGCCACCAGAATGTGACATTTGTGACAACAGGGACCTTAAGGACATTATGTTAAAAGGAAATAAGTCAGACAGAGAAGGACGAAATTGTATGATCTCATTTATAGGTTACCAGAGGGAAGGGGAATTGGATGACGGTGATCAAAAGAT